CTGACGTCAAATTCGCGGCCACAAAAGTCCTTAAATACCCCCTCTTCACCTTCGCAAACACAGTTTTACTTGGAACATTTTCGGAAACAGCGAGTTGTGTTTTGCAAACCAGAAACCTTTCAGAAAGGGACTATTTTTAAACTTAAACAATTAAGCAAACATTTTTTCTTGTCGACACTTTGCATTAAACCTTTAAAGAAATGTCACACGAAACATTTAATAATTCACAGTCTGACAGAGAGATTCGAGAGGAATCACAAAGACTGTATGGGTTGATGGAGAGAGAAATACCTGACCCTATGGAGCTTCAAATGAAAATACAAGAACTCCAGTTGGAGTTGAGCACCCTAAAGTGCAAAAAGAATTATTATAAAGATCATTTCCATCAGTCAAGAGATAAGCTTAAAAACATGAAGGCTCAGTTGTCTCAGATTGAAAGTGAGAGAAACGAGCAAAAGAAAGAGAACACAGATCTCAAGGACTCTTTAGAGAGACTTGAGCAGCAAGTGGGAGAAGCTCACCATAAAACAATAAAAAAAGAAGAGATAATAGAAAAACAACATAGGGAAATATTTCAGAAGACAGAACTCACAGTTGAGCTGAAAAGAGAAATTTGTACTCTTCAGCATCGGGTGAGACAGGCACTGCATGAAAAGCAGTCACAGGTGGAATCTCTGGAGGCTAAAATGCAGGAGCAGGTAAGCACAATTCAGAGGATGCACCATGACTTTCAAGAGAAAGAAGAATATCTCCTTAAAGAGAACAGCAGCATTGCTGCTGAGATAAAAAAATTAAAAACAGAGAACACAAATCTCAAGAAACATTTAGAAAATCTTGAGTATCAAGAAAAGACAACAGAAAGTCTGACACTACAAATATTTCTGCTGGAAGAAAAAGTCAAAAAGCAGAATTTCAAACTTGTTCATAAACAAGATCTCATAGATGAACTTTATGAACATCTTAACACGAAAAGAGAAATAATTAATAATCTTAAGGATGAGCTGACAAGGGAGGAGGAAGAAAAAGTATTAGCTGCTGTTCACAACATCACTGGTGAACCTCTGCAGCAGGAGAGTCTTGCTCATGAACTTGAGGGGCTTGTTTCTCCTGTCTCAGAACCACCTCCTGATGTGGTCCCGACACAGGACAATCTTGGTCTTGAACCTGAGGAGCTTGTTTCTCCAGTCTCAGAACCATCTCCTGATGTGGTCCCGACACAGGACAATCTTGGTCTTGAACCTGAAGAGCTTGATTCTCCTGTCTCAGAACCATCTCCTGACGTGGTTCCGACTAGTAGTGGTTCATGGCGTCATGGTGCCAAACGCCTACTTAAAATAGGTTTAGGTGTTGCCGCAGTAGGCCTTATTATACCTGCAGCTTACTGGGGATTTTCAATGCTTAGCAGTGATTGCCTATTTCACTCTGTCTATAGCCTCCTTGAGCCATATTGCTACCTTAGTGATGGATTAGTTCCCTTTTAAAGACTAATAATGATGGACTGCTTTTCATCCACAGTCCAGAAAACCATACGTTGTTCATGTTAGACAACATGAGCAACATTTAGCTAACTCGTGCTCTCATTTTTCTTTTCTTTTGCCTCTCACCCCCAACCAGTCGTGACAGATGGCTGCCCCTTCCTGAGCCTGGTTCTGTCAAAGGTTTCTTCCTGTTAAAAGGGAGTTTTTCCTTTCCACCGTGCCTAGTGCTTGCTCACAGGGGATCATTTGATTGTTGAGGTTTAATTTGCTTGAACTAAAAAAGTTCAACATTCTGGTGAGGGGTTCACATAGTAGGGAGCACTACAAAAGCTACAAATCTTTTAAAAAGATTTGTTAGCTGCAAATAAAAATAAAGAAAACAATTTTTGAAAAACATCTCTTACGTCTCTGTTTATTTGCTTAAATGAACACTTGTATTTTTTGTCATAGAAGAATATACATTGTCTTAAGTAAGTTTAATAATTTTAAATTTAGCCCTGTCACGGTTCTGGGTCAGTTTGACCCAGTACTTTGAGTTGTTATGTTTTGGTGTGTTTTTGCATTATGGATTGTTTTCTTATTCTCTTGTGGTGCTTTTGTTGGTTATGATGATGATGATGATGATGATGATGATTATTATTATTATTATTATTAATAATAATCCATGTTTTAGTTATTCTTGTTTAGGGATTAGTTCTTAGGTTTTGTGTTCTCGTGTTTATTGCTGGTTTAGTTCAGTGTCTAGTCTGTCTCTCTCTGTCCAGTCCGTGTCTTAGTTTAGTGTGTATTGTTTCCTGTTTTATTTTGAAGGATTGTGTCTTATGTCAGTGTGTCCAGCTTTGATCCCCTGACTCGTTAGCCCCAATCTCTCCCAGCTGTGTCTCCCTCCTGTTTTCCATTCCCTGATTACTTCCCTGTGTATATTAGCCCTGTGTTTGCCCTTGCTCAGTGTTGCGTCGTACCATCGGGTTATACTTGTGTGTTTTCGTGTTCAGTATTTTTGTGTTCAGTTCATGATTTGTTTTCTCCAGCAATGAAGTTGAGGTTTTGAGTTACAATTCTGTGTTCGAGTCCTGCATTTGGATCCTCATCTCCGCCTGCCCGCACACATAGCCCTGATATTACCAGCATAGAAGCATTCACAGTCATTACACTGTTTGTACACCATATGTGAAAAAAAGAAGAAAAACAGAAAGCCAAATTAGAAATACCTCTAAGCAGTAGAAGGTTGTTGACAGTAGCAAGCTACAGGTCTATCAATATCTTACTGTTTAACTTTTGTGTTAACTAGATTGATATTAATGAAGTCAAGGTTAAGTTCGTTTTTAAATTTTAGTAATGGTGGTTTCAAAATATTTTCAATGCACTGATAGGTGATCCAGAAGTAGAGGAGTCATCAGTGAATATTGAAACTGGAGATGTCACTTCTAGAGCAGGACATCTGACTTAAGTCTAATGAACCACGTGCCATTCATTTCTCTTAAAATTTTTATCACAGTAGTTCATTAAAGAAAACACGAGAGTGCGAGAGAGAGAGAATATGAACTTAGATTAAATAAATTAATCCAATAAGTAAGAAAGAAAACATTTTAAAGTCTCATTGTACTGTTTTTTGCATCGCACAGTTACTTTTTTGTGACGCAATTGTGAGTAACTGTGCGTTACAATACAATATTATATGAGGTAATTTTTAAAAAGTAGAACGATACAGTCCTTTTGAGTTACAGAATCGGAACGCTTTTCTTGGTTCCGGTCGTACGGACGTTTTAGAGTGCAACACAAAAGAGTCACGCTTGCAAGATATCAACACTGACAGTTGGTACAGGTTTTTGTGTGTTTGCTGTTAAGCAGTGGAGTAAACCATGGAGGTCCTGGGAGGACAGTTTAGCGACATGACTCCACAGGAGCTAGCGGCTCCTGTCAACACCGTAGCTGTGAGTATGAAGACTGGAAAGGACCGAAAGTCTAGCAGCACGAGCACAGAGATGCTAACGCTAGCGTGGAGGCTGTTAGCTCATAGAGATGCAGAGTGAAGGGGAACGTCCTCTGTCCCAGTTTGTTGTGTCTGACAGATATTTTTTTTTAGTGTATAATTTGGAGAAAGTTCATAAGTATGTACACAGTTCGAATAGTTTTCGCGTTATGAATAAAAACGGACTTGTTGTTTATTTGCTCTTTTTCCCTTTTTAACAGGAAAAATGGAAGTTGTTACCAGCCTTCCTGAAGGTAACAGAACACACCAGCCCTTACACACTTTTACTAAATTTTAATGCTGCTTGATTAAAATATGTTTAAAGTATGGTAGAAACTATAATAGTGTGCTGTCATGTTTATAAAAACAGTTTGAGGTGATCTGAGCTCTGTGAGATGGTGCGTTACCCTGCTGGAAGCAGCCATACTGTGGTCAGCACCAATCCTCAGCAAGCCTTGGTGTTTAAATGGTGCTTAGTCAACTGGGGACTGAAGTGTGAGAAGATAATGTCCCCCAACCAGCAGCCCCATGCTTTCATGATGTTCACACCAAATTCTGAAATCAAAACTCATTAGACCAGAAAACCTTTTTCCAATCTTATATTGCTGAGTCTGTGCAAAATGTAGCCTCAGTTTCGTGTAGTGGTGTAGTAGTAATTTGACTTACTGTTGCCTTCCTATCACTCCAAAGCAGTCAAACAATAACAATGACATGTTTATTTAAATAGTACAGGTCATTACATAGAATATAATAGAATTCAACTTTATTGTCACTGCACATGTCACAGGTACAAGGCAACGAAATGCAGTTTGCATCCATCAAGAAGTGCTTTAGCCATAATATAGATGTATTACAAATATATATTAGCAATAATATAGATATGTATGTATATTACAGAAATGGATCTATTATGGTATGTTATAATGTACATGGTATGAAGGTATGTTATGAATATGCTATAACTATAAATATGTACAGGCTGTAGTGAGTACAAGCTATGAACAGGATATAAATATGAAAATCTATACAGAAATATGAAATTAAAAAAATCTATACAGAAATATGAAATTAAAAAAAACTATACAGAAATATGAGATATACAGCTATACAGAAATTTTACAGAATGATTATTTATACAGAATTACATGACAGCTGAAAAAAACCCTTTGTAGGTTTATGATGTCTTAAGGCATTAAAAACAATTAAATAAAACAACAGCATCTATTAGCTGTGGGCCTGTGCGGCTAAAAAGGTTTTGAGTCTGTTTTTCAATGTACACAGAGATGTAACTGATCCTAGGTCAGCAGCCTGCTCCAAGGAACAGAGCCAGAATATCTGAAAGTACCCTCAACACACTAAGATACGATTTTGAGAACAGATCTGAAACTGATGACCTGAGATGTCTGTACTGGGTACCAAATCATCAAAAGCTTTGTGATTTCTGTGTACCTGTAAGGATTCCAAGGCTAGATTTTAAATGAGTAAGGGAAATCCAACTGATAATTTGGGGAGTCCTGAAACTAGAGCGCTGCAATAAACTAACCTCCCCTGATGTCCAATTTCTCACAGTCAGTTTGAGATAGGGATTTTCTAATCTTATATTTTTTAAGTTACATAAAGCAGTTTTGGTAAGCTTATTGATGTGGTTATCTGGTCATTTTTCTTCTGATTCCTTAGCAAGATATTTTTGGCCAAAGAAATACATTTAGTAAAAAGTGAAACATTTGAGTCCAGTATGGCCATGAAATAATGAAATATTGCCATAATGACCAAATATACCGCGTACAGCATGTCTTGTTCTTTTACCCTGTCAAAGTTTTAAGTCATGGACCTTCTTTAAATTACTTTTCTTTGTCATCAAATATCAAAGTATCCTCCTGTGTGATGATGACAGAACAGTTGGTGGGTCTACATCTGTGTGAGTAATATTATTTGGGAGAGTAAACATGTATATCATGTTGTGTGTTTTGCAGGTGAAAGGTTTGGTAAAGCAGCACATCGACTCATTCAACTATTTCATTAATGTAGAGGTAAAACACGAGCATGTCTTTGTCTGTTGCTGCTTTTTCATGTACATTTGGATTTTGAGCATCAATGTCTCATTTGTTCTTCTTCTAGATCAAAAAAATTATGAAGGCAAATGAGAAAATCACAAGTGATGCTGATCCAATGTGGTACCTCAAGTAAGTCACTGTGTGCATCCACCATCACTGACTTTAACACTGCAGACATGCACAACAAGTTGTTTTTTTGTTTTGTTTTTTTATTAAAAGAGGAAATAATGGATTTTTAAATATTTGCAGATACCTCAATATCTATGTTGGCATGCCGGATGTGGAAGAAAGCTTCAATGTGACCAGACCAGTCTCTCCCCACGAGGTGAGAGTAGCATGTGTTTCTGCTGTTAAATATGAACCATTGTTTACTGTGGTTTAATTAAAGTTGAATAAAGCTTTTGAGTAATCAAATACACAGCTTTAAATGAGTTTTTTATATATACGTATCATTGCACATTAATTCTCTACACTTTGGACAGATAATCACACATTAAATACAGAGGGAACATGTCTCACTCAGGCATCTCTAGACTCAGCTGGCATTTAGTTGTAGCCCTCAGAGGTATTTCTTAATTATTTTTGTTACTTATATTTGAGTGCCTACACCTCCAATACTTTCCTTTAAAGATGATGAGATATAGCTGAGAGTCATCTGTTTCATCCCAAAGTGTCGTCTCAGAGATATGACCTACTCTGCGCCCATCACAGTGGATATAGAGTACACCCGTGGCAGTCAGAGGATAATTCGCAATGCGCTGCCCATTGGAAGGTATCTTTTTTTTCCCCCTCCCCTGCTTCTTTTCTGTGATGCAGACATATTTATGTTGCATTTATATCAAATCTACAAATTTAAAACCTCTCCAGCAAAGCTCAGTAAGCCAACAAGTGCTAAAAAAAGATTTAGCTTTTGTGATTTTTAAGCTTTGTTTGCTGATAAACTGACCTTCTTCACTCATTTGTGCTGACGCATTCTGCTTTATAACAACACTGAAGCAATATTCATATTTTATTAATGATGATAACTCTGCTTTTCTCAGGATGCCCATCATGCTGCGAAGCTCGAATTGCGTTCTCACGGGAAAGACGCCCATGGAGTTTTCAAAACTCAACGAATGTCCCCTGGATCCAGGCACGTAACCATAGCACTCTCATTTTAACTTTTTCCCCCTGAAGGGCCTCACCTGGACCCTTAATGATGAGTTTTGGCATCTCAGTATATATCAGTAAAATGTTTGATGACCATTCAGGGCTCTAGAGTGCGACTAATTTGGTCGCAAATACGACCAAATTTTTCAGTGGTGCAACTAAAAAAAATATTTGGTCGCACCAGTGTGACCAACTCTTCGGGTAACAAAAAAAAATCTCTGCAACTCTCTGTGGTCAACAACAGACACACAGTATGCCCCTATCGTGGACTAAACCATTCAGAGATAGTCAGTGGCGGGACCTCTCTGATTGGCCGTGGTCCAGTTGAAAGTGCAGGTGGATAGAGAGAGGTGAGTAGCTTGAATAAAGCGATAT